TCGCTCCTTGCGGCGATGGCTCGTCGGTCGCCGCGGGCTCGGGCTCTCCGTCATCGGTGGGCTAGGGCTTAAGCTCCACGCAGTGGAGAGATGGTGGGCTGGGCACTGGGTGTGGCTGTGTTCTGGATCGGGGGTAGACGCTCTCCAGACACTGGATGATTGCCTCCCTCCAGCACAGTCCGGTGGTGTCTGGGAGGCCGACGGGGCGGTAGTAGTTGGCCCCGATCCAGAACAGGGAGTTCAGCGCAGCGTCGTCGAACGCCATTAAATCGGCGAGCTGGCTGAACTCTACAGCATACTCCAAGAGGGAAAGGTCCTTGCGGGCGAGGGAGGTAAACTTTACAGCGAGGGAATCCATGGGGCACACGGGGAAAACAGAAAACAATCACTGAAAAAACGCAAAAAATAAACGGAGGGGAACAACGCAAATAAAATATTTAGTCGGTGCTGTGTTCTGTCACAACTGCTACTGTGGAGGAACGAAGGAGTGTGGAGACGAAGGAGTTGAAGGAAAACAGTCTTTAATAGTTCAAACTGGGGAAAAACACAGGGTAGCCAGGAGACATGCACACATAGCATCGGGATAAGGAGCGGGAGGGACAGAGGTCACCGACGGAGGAGGGAGGAAAGGGGGCAGGTCGGTATATAAGTCAATTATATTTTCCTCCGCTTTCTCTTCACCCAAATCCCTTCTCAGCTCACCCTCAGCCACAGTGCAGGGGGTTGAGATCCTCTCCACGCTCACTCTGTCCACGGCTTTCTCCCTCGTGGCGGGCGTTGTAGCCGGCTCTCGCACCTGGTCTGACGTCATCAGCAGCTCAGGCACCGCAGCTTTGTCGCTCCTTGCGGCGATGGCTCGTCGGTCGCCGCGGGCTCGGGCTCTCCGTCATCGGTGGGCTAGGGCTTAAGCTCCACGCAGTGGAGAGATGGTGGGCTGGGCACTGGGTGTGGCTGTGTTCTGGATCGGGGGTAGACGCTCTCCAGACACTGGATGATTGCCTCCCTCCAGCACAGTCCGGTGGTGTCTGGGAGGCCGACGGGGCGGTAGTAGTTGGCCCCGATCCAGAACAGGGAGTTCAGCGCAGCGTCGTCGAACGCCATTAAATCGGCGAGCTGGCTGAACTCTACAGCATACTCCAAGAGGGAAAGGTCCTTGCGGGCGAGGGAGGTAAACTTTACAGCGAGGGAATCCATGGGGCACACGGGGAAAACAGAAAACAATCACTGAAAAAACGCAAAAAATAAACGGAGGGGAACAACGCAAATAAAATATTTAGTCGGTGCTGTGTTCTGTCACAACTGCTACTGTGGAGGAACGAAGGAGTGTGGAGACGAAGGAGTTGAAGGAAAACAGTCTTTAATAGTTCAAACTGGGGAAAAACACAGGGTAGCCAGGAGACACACACAGCATCGGGATAAGACGTTTAACACAGCACGCTAGACACAGGAAACACTGGGCTTAAGTACACGAGACACACCTGGACTCAATGAAACACAATAGGAACAGGAACAGGAACAGGAAGGAAACCAAATATTCGCATGTCACACGAGGGAAAACTAGGTCATAGAAGGCACATGGGGAGAAAAACACAACACAGGCAGTCCATATTTCTGACACTGTTATAATTATGAAGGGGTCCTTGGAACATTTTCTCGCCTGTAAGGGGTCCCTGGCCCCAAAAAGTTTGAGAACCCCTACTCTAGGACATTTTTAAAGCTTGTGTTGGCGAACATCAGTAACCAAGGAGGATGGAGCTATAGTGAAGGGTCAATTATGAGTTTTTGGGTGCAAAACAACCTTGACTAACATTATAAGTGGGCCTCAGGGGAAAAATAAAATGAGAAACAAATTCATGACCTTAATATTTAATTAGGCCCTCATCCTATCATTGCTGAAGGACAAGTTTTAGAGGTGACTTATATTTTGGTTTTAGGATATCACGGTTTTATGATCTAAAATCACGCTCCTCTGCCTAATCTCTTGATTGGTTGGCAATTCATGCACAGCATACGCTTTCAGAATTTTTTATGATTTAAAGTCTTTGTCATCGATTCAGTGTTATAATACATTTTTAATGACACTTGCTACTTTTTAGACACTGATGCAGTTATTGTCTGTGACGTATAGGCTTTTGATTTCAACATAATGAAAACAAAGCAATAATTTTAACCAACAGTGTGACTCATTTGAGTGGTGCTGTAATAATATTGTCATAGTATAGTATATGAACTATACAATGACAATGGCAGTCATACAGAAAACAGCAGTGCTTAGTGTAATTAATATGCTCAGCAGGCAGGTCTCACCAGATGAGCAGAATTAGCATATCAATTAAAGTTCTAATGCTGGATGTAAATTACAAAAGTCTTAGAGTGCCTCAAAGCACCTCGCTTGGTCACTTTGAAAAGTTACTACAGGTTTCAAAAAGCATACTGGACTCAAATCACTAGGCAAAAGGGCAATTAGCATGTGTGAGCAGCTTGCATCTGCGTGCCGTTGGGACAGTTTACAATCGATGGCACATAAATAGGATGAAGAACAGCCCGAGTCATCCTTTGGGATCCCCTGCAGCAATTGTCAATGAGCTCCAGTCGGCTCCATACACCAAGTGTATTGCTGATGTAAATGTTAAAAGCCAATATTCATTACCACAGGACATTCTTTGTGAAGAATATGTAATTATTTAAGATGTAATTTGTAAGGCGTACAATGAGCTTGAATGGGCCATTGCTCAGAATAATGTGAGTACTGGGTTATCTGATGTCCTACAGTTCTTTCAGGTGGCATTAAATAGATAGTTCACCCAAATTACAATTGTGTCATTTTTACTTACCCTCGTGTCAACCCATATGTTCATGGAGAAATTCTGAAAAATGCTCATGCAGTTGAATGAACTATTGATGGAGTCACATGAAGATTCTTCAACTTCTTTCAATGGAAAAAAATAAATCAAGACAGGTTTGAGATGACACAAGAGTGTGTAAATAAGGCGATTTTCAGTTTTTTTTGCTGGACTTCCTGCATTCCAGTAACTCTTAGTAGATGCCAAGGTCATGGGTTCTATTCACAGGGAATGCAGCGTACTGATGAAATGTATAAAGTTGAATGCAATGTAAGTTGCTTTGGACAAAATGTAAATGTTGAACTATCAATTTAATAAGCATGTCATTTTTTTAATCTTTTAATCATCAGCAACCTGATGATTTACAATTCAACAAAGCAAATGAAAGAGTACAGGCTTCAAAAATGTTTATTATATATCTACTTCTTTTTTCCTCAGAGAGGATGTAGCTGTGAAGGTCGAGAAACTGGGAAGAGGGTGTCTTGCATGCAGAACACTTTCAAACAGCATTTCTTTCAGTGTGACACGAAACACTCAGACAGGGAAGGTGCTGTTCTTTCAGTTTCAGAGATCAGAAAACTGCTTGGATTGCCATTTGGGAATCTGGCGCCTTGCAAAGTCTCCAAAAATCCTTGGCGTTTTTTTCTCACTGTTTCCTGTGTGTGAATGCCTTAATAATGAGAGGGGCCCCACAGTGCTGCACCTGTAGCTACAGTGTGGATCAGCAGGAAGTGCTTTTGTCTTCCTTCACATTCTCTGTTTCCTGGTGGTTGTGTTGGGCTAACAAAATTCAGACGACAATGCAGGCAGCAGTGCAGGTTATCGGATGCAGTTTCTCTTTCTGCTGAATTTACAGCACAAACAGAACATGTTGACATATTCTCACAAGCTGTGGAAAAACGTTGTGGGGTGTACTCCCTCACCAAAAGTATGAGGACATCTGGACACCTTCCTTTTGCTAATACTGTATATCCGCTTTTGACTAGACCAAAGTCTAAGAGAGTCCATCTAAAGGTAAAGCCTCTATAAAGTCAAAGTGGAGCTGTTTAATTTGGCTTTTAAGAATGTAGCATTGAAAGTGTATATTGAGGCTGACGGTTCTTGAATATCAATCCACCTTAATGTGTTTCAAGGGAAAGGGGCCTCATGCCATCAGCTAATAAAAATTGCTGTCTTGAATGCAAAGATCCTTTGTTCTTAATAATGCCAACTGTTATGTTTTTTTAAGTGCTCGAAACTGATATCTAGAGAGCAGGTTTGTATATATTAGCCAATACATAAGGTACAACGCACAGCTGCTCACAAAACCATCCATGTTTGAAATGTCCCTCACTGCTATGTTTTAAAGATAAAGTATGTGACTTCATTGGTTAAGCCAGTGTTGCTGTGTTGGACTGGTTAAGATTTTCAGACAAAAAGAGCAATGGTTTAATAGCCTACCACAAAGTTTGTTAATATATCACAACAGAAAAGATACACTAAGTATTAAAGTTTTTGTGCACCCAAAAATTTAAATTCTGTCATCACTCACCTTCATGTTGTTCTGAACCCATAAAACTATTGTTCATTTTAAAGCAATGGTTTAATAGCCTACCACAAAGTTTGTTAATATATCACAACAGAAAAGATACATTAAGTATTAAAGTTTTTGTGCACCCAAAAATTTAAATTGTCATCACTCACCTTCATGTTGTTCTGAACCCATAAAACTATTGTTCATTTTAGGAACACAAATGAATATTTTTTATATTTTCTCATAATTTCTGTCAGTCCATTTAAAGTTTAGCTATCAACATTTTCAAGCTTCAAAAAATTAATAAAGACATTGTAAAATTAATTCAGTCTTCTGAAGACTAAGCTTCCATTTAGTACATGTATGCACGTTGACCATATTTATAACCATATAAAAAAACATATCATATCATATATCATATCAAGTGATCGGATCTCTTCAGAAAATTTGAATTAAACCGTATGATTTACCCCTTGCTGTTCACCCCCAAACTGTTTGTAGATACTTCTATCAAAGGCAATCACAAATTTTAAACATCTCAAAATGTTATTTTGTTAATAAGCCTTGACAATTTACTGGTCTATCAGTATTTCTCAGTCATGTTTCACATTCACTGATATTTTGAACTCTTTGGTTTCTACCAGGCCACAGTGGCAGCATTTGCAGCAAGTGAGGGTCATTCTCACCCGCGGGTGGTGGAACTGCCCAAGACAGATGAGGGGCTTGGCTTCAATGTGATGGGCGGAAAAGAGCAGAACTCACCGATCTACATCTCCCGCATCATCCCAGGGGGCGTGGCTGAGAGGCATGGGGGTCTTAAGAGAGGCGACCAACTACTGTCTGTCAATGGAGTGGTGAGTTGTAGTATGCAGGATCTTTCGTAATCATATCAAGTGATCGGATCTCTTCAGAAAATTTGAATTAAACCGTATGATTTACCCCTTGCTGTTCACCCCCAAACTGTTTGTAGATACTTCTATCAAAGGCAATCACAAATTTTAAACATCTCAAAATGTTATTTTGTTAATAAGCCTTTACAATTTACTGGTCTATCAATATTTCTCAGTCATGTTTCACATTCACTGATATTTTGAACTCTTTGGTTTCTACCAGGCCACAGTGGCAGCATTTGCAGCAAGTGAGGGTCATTCTCACCCGCGGGTGGTGGAACTGCCCAAGACAGATGAGGGGCTTGGCTTCAATGTGATGGGCGGAAAAGAGCAGAACTCACCGATCTACATCTCCCGCATCATCCCAGGGGGCGTGGCTGAGAGGCATGGGGGTCTTAAGAGAGGCGACCAACTACTGTCTGTCAATGGAGTGGTGAGTTGTAGTATGCAGGATCTTTCGTAATCTGTAACTCTGTAAAAGGAATATGCATGTGTGTAATTTAAGGATGCATTTCTATGAGAAGGTACAAGATGTAAAGCTCAAGCACTGAAATGTGGTTATTTGCAAAATAGCAATAAAATTAATAGGATGCATAATTGGATGGAACCTAACAGGATGGAAATAAAGCAAAAGTCATGAGGGTGTTAACTCAAAAGTAACTGAAGTCAGGTTATTTAAATATTTATATTTTATATAGGGTGGATTGTTATGCATTGTTAATACTCACTGATACTTGTGGTTATCAAACATAATCACTTCCTAGAGGACGGTAACATTACTGGAATAGTTCACCCAAAAATGAAAATTCTTTTATCATTTACTCATTTTCAGTTTGATCCAAACCTGTATGAATTGCTTTCTTCTGTTGAACATAAACTGTAATTAAACAATTGATTTTCCCCATTGTCTTCCATAGTTTTAAGTAAATAGGGTCATCAAATGTTCTTCAAAACATCTTCTTTTGTGTTCAGCCGAAGAATGAAAGTTATACAGGTTTGGAACAACTTGAGGATTGAGGAGTAAATGATGACAGGACTTAAATTTTTGGGTGAACTAACCATTAAGTAAAAGGTTTATGTTAGTTAAAAGGGCACGGGGAAAACCTAAATAAGCATAAATTTCTTAATAAGTTTCAAATTGTCCAAATTAGAAGCCAGGGAAATAGCAACATCCCCTTAAACTAAAGTAGCATAATCATTAAAATACATTTCTATTTTTACTTATCTAATATATTTAGACATACATGATGGGGACATGAAAAGTTACTGCATAGTAGGAATGACCTGTCAGCGCATAGCTCACTTATCACTAAATGTACAAAGGAAGGATCGGTGAACATCAGGGTATTTTTTTTACATGACTGATGTTGACAGGTTGACAGGTGGGGGGTGGGGGGAAACTTAAAGTGGATAGTTCACCCAAAAATTCTAACTCTGTAATAAGTTGTTCCAAATGTGTATAAAATAAGTCAGTGGCTACAGTCAACTGTTTGGTTGCCAACATTCTTCAAAATATATTTTTTTGTGTGTGTTCAACAGAAGAAAGTAAGTCATACAGGTTTGGAAAACTTGAGTATTTTCATTTTGGGTGAACTATCCCTTTAAGTGTTTGTGCAATAAAATGAAATTATAATTTTTAGGGGATGAATTTTTCAGCAGTGTAGAGCTGTCACATAAGATGCCTTCATGCTAGAGGGCCCACTGGCTTTTTAATCGATACAGATCATTTTGGGCTGAAGTGAGATTATTACGGCAGAAGGATTTTTACATTGATCTCAATGAACAAAGATTTCCAACAGTCTACAAGGCTGATTGCATCATGGCGTAATACGCTAATAAATCAATTTTTGCAGCTCAGACCCATTAGAGACTGAATCTAATCTTTCATTTTACTTAGGCTAAGCTTAACATTTAAAAATAATAAAACTGGACAAACAAGACAGAAAACTTACAGCAGGACTGTATATCTAAAACTGAAAAAGACAGATTTCAAAAGAATTTATCTTTTCATAATTCACTGTAAATGTTTAAAATGTGTCAGACTGGAGCCAGATGAGAATGAATCATTGACTGAATCCGAATGAATCTTTCAGTAAAAAAAAGCTGTCTGCTCTTATAAAGCGCTCTGAGTCACTGCTGCAGTGCAAGCCTTTTGAAGCCAGTTGCTTTTCTCTTCTCTGCCATCATTCAAGTTTGTTACAATTCTATTACATGAAGGAGTAATTTTAGTTTATAGAAACTAATGTCCACTGTTTTCTCGCTCAAAGATGACAGAAGACTTCAGAAAGGATCCATTTGATTTCATTTGCGTCAAAGACTGTAATAGGAAAGCGTTTTATGACAGCATTTGAGAAGCAATTTCTCATTAAACCAAACATGTTACGGTTCCTGAGCTAATAGGAAATTAATGGCTCTTTTGTGCCAAAATGTAATTGAATGTTCATCACCGTGGAGCATTTTCTAGTGCAGTTTTGAGCTGACAAAACTACAGTATGGGTTTGGATGCAATAAAGTTGCAGCAGTCATCAACAAACTATTTAACTTAGACATACACGTTTGGTCCTTTGAATTAGATGACATGAACAACCACAGATTGCTCTGAAAAAACAATTACTGAATTCTTTTTCCTAGAGTGTCGAGGGTGAACACCACGAAAAAGCAGTGGAGCTACTGAAAGCAGCCAAGGACAGCGTCAAACTGGTGGTGCGTTACACCCCTAAAGTCCTGGAGGAGATGGAGGCGAGGTTCGAGAAGCTTCGCACCGCCCGCAGACGCCAACAGCAGCAGCTCCTCATTCAGCAACAGCAGCAGCAAAACCTGACCACCCAGCAGAACCACATGTCGTAGGTGAGGCTTTTCATTGCTTTAAGGGTAACAGGACCTCAGCAGGGCAGTTCACGGAGAGGTTAGCTGCCCCGTCACCTCTTGAGGCCTGTGGGAGATACAGTACTACATGCTGCCTGTCACCAGTGGAACATTGAAAGATCACACTTAAGGGACTTTAAAGGCAAAATAACTATTTAGATGGAAATCGAACATTATTGTATTACAAGCTTATTTAGTCTGCAAATCTCACTGATGGAACTATTTGTTTTGGTAATGCTTTACATTAAAGGGATAGTTTACCCAAAAAAGTCTGGCATCATTTATTCACTCTTTTATGTTTTTCTAAATATGTATGACATTCTTTCTGCTGTGGAACACAAAAGAAGATATAAAAAAAAAAAAGTGTATACATTCAAATAAATGTGACTGGGGTCTAGGGCTGTCAAAAAAATATTTGAATTTCAAATATTCGTCGAATTTAAAATAAAAATCCACATTCGAATGCAAAAACGTTGCATTCGAATTTTAGGTGTGCGTCAGGCAGCCTTATCAGTGGTGAACGAAATGCGACGGCGATGTAAGTGTATATACTGTATATATAATATAAGTATATATATACACATACACCTTGCTACGTGTCATGTATTAGGCTAACTGAGACTTGTCATTTGCACTTATATATTGTTGCTCTTTTGTTAGTTTTGACTGCTTTTATTGTCCTCATTTGTAAGTCGCTTTGGATAAAAGCGGTTTTCGGTCCTTTGTATTAAACTATGTATGCATGATGCTGTTTTGTTTCTAATTGTTTAAGCAACTTTATTAATTATATAAGGTTCATAAACATTATTTTAAACATTATGCACTTTTTTCAAAGATAGACCTGTTATTTTATTATGCTTTGAAGAAACATGCATAATATTTTGCTCGATGCGCCCTCTTGTGGCCTCAGGAAAGCAGCCAAAAGCTTTTTTCCCCCTAACTGAAATTATGCCTTTTAAATTCGAATATAATTCGAATATTGATCATATTTAAGTAAAAAATTCGAATTTCGTTTTTCAGCCATTTTGACAGCCCTACTGGGGTCCAATGTGGTTTGGATCGCAGCGATCTTCAAAATATATACTTTTGTGTTCCACATACAAAGGCATCAAGTTTGTGACAACATGAGGGTGAATAAATTAAGACAGAATTTGGTAACACTTTAGTATAGGGACCAGTTCTCACTATTAACTAGTTGCATGCCTATTATTGTCACGGTGCGTGCGGGTAGATGAAGCGAGGACTCAATCGCTGGAGAAATGGTTGTTTATTTTAATATTTTAATACGTGGAGCATTTTCTAGTGCAGTTTTGAGCTGACAAAACTACAGTATGGGTTTGGATGCAATAAAGTTGCAGCAGTCATCAACAAACTATTTAACTTAGACATACACGTTTGGTCCTTTGAATTAGATGACATGAACAACCACAGATTGCTCTGAAAAAACAATTACTGAATTCTTTTTCCTAGAGTGTCGAGGGTGAACACCACGAAAAAGCAGTGGAGCTACTGAAAGCAGCCAAGGACAGCGTCAAACTGGTGGTGCGTTACACCCCTAAAGTCCTGGAGGAGATGGAGGCGAGGTTCGAGAAGCTTCGCACCGCCCGCAGACGCCAACAGCAGCAGCTCCTCATTCAGCAACAGCAGCAGCAAAACCTGACCACCCAGCAGAACCACATGTCGTAGGTGAGGCTTTTCATTGCTTTAAGGGTAACAGGACCTCAGCAGGGCAGTTCACGGAGAGGTTAGCTGCCCCGTCACCTCTTGAGGCCTGTGGGAGATACAGTACTACATGCTGCCTGTCACCAGTGGAACATTGAAAGATCACACTTAAGGGACTTTAAAGGCAAAATAACTATTTAGATGGAAATCGAACATTATTGTATTACAAGCTTATTTAGTCTGCAAATCTCACTGATGGAACTATTTGTTTTGGTAATGCTTTACATTAAAGGGATAGTTTACCCAAAAAAGTCTGGCATCATTTATTCACTCTTTTATGTTTTTCTAAATATGTATGACATTCTTTCTGCTGTGGAACACAAAAGAAGATATAAAAAAAAAAAAGTGTATACATTCAAATAAATGTGACTGGGGTCTAGGGCTGTCAAAAAAATATTTGAATTTCAAATATTCGTCGAATTTAAAATAAAAATCCACATTCGAATGCAAAAACGTTGCATTCGAATTTTAGGTGTGCGTCGGGCAGCCTTATCAGTGGTGAACGAAATGCGACGGCGATGTAAGTGTATATACTGTATATATAATATAAGTATATATATATACACATACACCTTGCTACGTGTCATGTATTAGGCTAACTGAGACTTGTCATTTGCACTTATATATTGTTGCTCTTTTGTTAGTTTTGACTGCTTTTATTGTCCTCATTTGTAAGTCGCTTTGGATAAAAGCGGTTTTCGGTCCTTTGTATTAAACTATGTATGCATGATGCTGTTTTGTTTCTAATTGTTTAAGCAACTTTATTAATTATATAAGGTTCATAAACATTATTTTAAACATTATGCACTTTTTTCAAAGATAGACCTGTTATTTTATTATGCTTTGAAGAAACATGCATAATATTTTGCTCGATGCGCCCTCTTGTGGCCTCAGGAAAGCAGCCAAAAGCTTTTTTCCCCCTAACTGAAATTATGCCTTTTAAATTCGAATATAATTCGAATATTGATCATATTTAAGTAAAAAATTCGAATTTCGTTTTTCAGCCATTTTGACAGCCCTACTGGGGTCCAATGTGGTTTGGATCGCAGCGATCTTCAAAATATATACTTTTGTGTTCCACATACAAAGGCATCAAGTTTGTGACAACATGAGGGTGAATAAATTAAGACAGAATTTGGTAACACTTTAGTATAGGGACCAGTTCTCACTATTAACTAGTTGCTTATTAGCATGCCTATTATTAACATATTGTCACGGTGCGTGCGGGTAGATGAAGCGCAAGAGCAGAGCCTGCCTCAAGAAGGGAGCCAGCAGGGCAAGTAGCTGGGGTACAGCTGACAGAGAGCAGAACTTAAGTGGAGCCGACAGGGCGTGAAGCTTGAGCTTGGGCGGAGCCGGCAGGGCGTAAAGCTTGAGCTTGGGCGGCGCCGGCAGGGTGAGGAACTTGGGTGGCGCCGGTAGGGCGAGGAGCTTGGGCGGCGCCGGTAGGGCGAGGAGCTTGGGCGGCAGCCTGCAGGGCGAGGAGCTTGGGCGGCAGCCTGCAGGGCGCAAAATTTTTATTAAACTACCCGTTCATATAAGACTATAATGCCAGTATTCTTCAGCCAACAATGAAACTACAAAATTTACTCACCCTCATGTTACTCAAACCTGTATGACTTTGTGGAACACTAAAGGAGAAGTTTTGCAGAATGCCAGTGCTGCTATTTTCCATTCAACAAAAGTAAATTGGGAGTTAAAAGAACCAAGACAGGAACCAATAATATTTGGCATCACTGACATCAAATCTCGGACAAAGTGTCCTGACACACCATTTCTGAAAGTACATCGAAATTGTGAATGAGATCTGAGAGCTATGAAGGACAAGGCTGCTTTCAAAAACTGAAAATAACTTCAATTTCATTCTAGCCATCACAAGCTGTCGTATGGCTTCAGAAGATTTGAAATATAACGCACGTCATATAAACTACTTTTATGATTCATGTTTTTTTTTTTTTTTGACTTACTGAAATGCATTCACTTTTATTGTGAAAGTGTAGCATGAACATTCTAAACATCTCCTTTTGTGTTAAACAGAAGAAAGAAAGACATATTGATTTGGAACAACATGAAGGGCAGTAAATGATGACTGAATTTTTATTTTTGTGTGAGATATCCCTTTAATTCTTTATTGTGCATTACTAATGCCGTATACTCATTACAATCAGTTCTCATAAACAACTTTGACAATCATATGATTATACGTTGTAAATGAAACAGCTGGGGTTGCCAAATCCCTATAAAGTTCAAGGTCACACTTTATTTTAAGGTCCAATTCTCAGCTATTAACAAACCATTAACTACTCCTTTGCTTCAATAAACTACTTATTTGCTGCTTATTAATAGTTAGTTTGGTAGTTGTTAAGTTTAGATATTGGGTAGGTTTAGGGATGTAGAATATATGCTCATGCAGAATATGTGCCTTATAAGTATTAATAAACAGCCACTATTTTATTAATAGGCATGCTAATAATCAACTTGTTAATAGTGAGAACTGGTCCCTATACTAAATTGTTATCAAGTTCATATATTATATCATAATTGCAATGCGTTACAATGCATTATGAAAAGGTAGGTCGGATTTTGTAAGGACTACATAAAGTATAATGCACAACTGGACTATGTAAAAAGTCATTATTAATTCCCTTTTTTATGTATTACATATCTTTCATGAATTTTATGCATTATATATAACGCATGCAGTACATTACATATGCATTATTACATACAGGCTTCTTGTATTCTTGTACTGCCATTTTTTCAGTTTGGTGCAAATTAATATGTCATTGTCACACCCCATAGTAGCTTCTGAAACAGTGCCTCCCCTTCTATATAAAAAGAGAAAGTGTATGCTTTCTCATCATCCTTTATCACTTCTATTATCACTGTTCTGAAATAACAGCACTCTCATTTCCTCAAGACTTCTTTCTTCTTTGCAAATGCAATACAATCTGAGATAATTCTATTAGTCAAGAGTCTTTTCCAGACAGACCAAAGCACATCTCCTTGTATTAATGATACTCGGCCCATGTATTCGCCTCAGTGCCTCCTCACACCACACTTAGCGCTGAGCAGCAGTAAAGTTGGCAGCGTTGTAACCTCGCGATAGAAACAAGCCAAGCCTAAAATTAAGCTATAAGCAGCGCCGACGCAAAAGCACGTCCGTGTGGATACACTTCTAACAGAGGTGCTGGCCTCTGTACACTTATCACCAAAGGCCAATTGGAATTACTTATGTATCTCTTGCTTGTGGCTAAATCCTTGGCTGTAAAATCATATGTGCTTGTGAGCTGCTGAGTATTTTTGGGACATTATGTCTGGGCAAGAGGATCATGGGGAGAGAGTTGAGCCCAGATCATCCCCTATCAAGACTGGCATGCCGACTAAACAGCAAAGCCGCAGTGACCAGAGAGCACTCTGTCAAAACTAAACCACACCAAACACACACACATCTCAAAAACAAATAAGACTAGTTTTCCAATTGTAGATGGGGGAAGAGGGACAAAATTAATTTAAAGGTCTTCCAAACAAAACTCTGGGAAAAATTACGTGCATAGCTGACAATTTAATGCAAAATTGACAAATTAAGCGCTTGTTTTTTTACTCTTCAATGAGTGAAATGAAGACAAGTATACTTTCAACTGTGGTTTCTGTTAATAAAAATGTCTAATGTCTAAAATAAACTTGTGTTTTTGTTATTTCAGCAGATGTACCAGAGGAAATATCTTAGTTTGTTGGGGGTTTCAGAGGTCTGCATGTATTGACTTTAACAATGGGGGACCTTGGAGTTACGAAGGTTGAGAAACTGATGTAGACACTAAAATATCTAGTAGGAACAATCCAAAATGTGATTTTTCCTAGCTTAAAAAATAAGGCTGATATGTGAAAAGATCTCTGTGAAATAAATACAAATCACATGGCAAAAATAATATGAAATGTGCCAAAAAGTAGGTGATCTTTATATAACCTGCTAGCAAATAAATATGGAACTTTATCAGCAGAAAAGTACAATATATTCAAGCCTTCAAGGTTTGTCATAATGCATTCAGCAAATGCCTTGTCTGAGAAGGATACATGCAATGCAACGTTTTGTGCAAAAATGTAGCATCTCGACTTTGGACTTTCTTTGTGTTGCAGTACTGGGGTCTCAAGTCCATCCCAAGTCCGAGTCCAAGACTTTTTTTATGGTCTTGGTTTTGTCATTGGCTATGTAGCATTTGGCCTTGGCTCTTTTAGTCTCTTGAATCAGATTCAACCTACTGTATTCAGTTCTCGGCCTGGACTTGACTCAAATTAGCTAGTCTTGACTGCAACCCTGGTACTTGCCTTTGAGACATTGGGCCATAGTGGTCACATTGGACCAAAGGTTCAAGTCCAGTCTGCTACATTACGTGTTATAAATAGCCAAAAATACCAACCAACATTTTGACTGCCCTTTTCAACTTGTCTCTCAGCCTGTGTCCTTCTGGTTTTTTACAGGCTGTTCCAAAAGAAGAAAAAGTAGAGGACACTGAGTGAGACTGGCATACTCTCACAGTCGTGATGTAAGGAGGTCCGAGAGATCTCAGAAGAGGACCCTTACTGTTCTGCAGTGAAGACTATCCTCTTTCAGTCAACTACCTACAACTCAAAAAGGTTGAAAACTCCATGAATTTGTGTTCCAAATTGTTGCTTGGAAAAATGTACATGATTGCATAAAGGAAGGCTAGCACTTAAGTACATGGTTTTACACTTGCTTGTTCATATTTCAGTTGTCTGGAACCAATCCCAAGTTGTGACCCTCTTTAAAAAAAAGTCCCTCTTGTAGTTTTGTGATAATGTGATTTCTCAACATGTATTTCTTAAGCATTCAATGATTTGTTTTTACTATCATTATATTTATGTTGCCACAGCGCTGTACAGTAACTTTTCGAAGGGTTCTTTTGGTGCTGGTGTCTCTGGCGCTTTTTAAGTCAGTCATCCTTTATTGGATAACACTGAGGTATTTTATACCATATTGTAGCAAGGAATATTTTGTAAAGAAAATAGATTTAGCAATAACACTTGTTTTGTCACATCCTACTGTCAAATTATGGTTAAAAAGCCCATTTTAGGCGTAGAAATGAATTGAGGGAAAAGTTGCTACAAAACTGTATCTTATGCACCATAAGTCAGACTAAACCATAAACATCATTTGCACAGAATGTTCTTATGAGATCACTGTATCACAGTGCCATTGACAGAGATTATCTTGTACATTTGGCATATTGTATCGGCAGACATTTAAAGGTAAAGTGTGTCATTTTTGCAAATACTTTCTCAGATTTCATCTTAATATACAAATTAAAGTAAACACTGCATTGATATATCAATTTGTTTGTGCATCCACCCAGTAGCATGAGTTTGAGGCAGGACTTCACATTTGGAAACCAGTAGCAGAAATGTTTGGAAACGGTCCTTATTTTCTCAATTTGTTTTTGTGGCACAGTACTGACACACTACACCTTTAACAGGTCATGCATTCATGAGAGCTGTACAGTTTTGATGCGGTTTTATGGTTGTGATGTCACTACTGAAATTAATTCTAATTCATAAATATTCTATTTAAGTTCAGACATTTCTAGTTGATATTATGAAATTATTTACTATGAGGACAAATGGAATGTCAAACACAGATACATGATATCTACAAATGGAGGTAAATCATTACATAGTATTTTGTTATTTTAAAGTTCTATTTTCAAGTTTATTATCTCAGAGGTTTGAAAAATGATTAATTGGGGTGTTATTTATTGTTATATTTCACACAACCAACCACCTCGTTCACTAGAAACATTGTCCTGTTTTGACAATCGATTTAAAAAGCAAGCATTAAGCCACTGAATTTTGTTTTTATTTACAAAATTGCATTTTTATTTCACAGCTTCATTCCCTCAACACAAACTGTCAAAAGTTGGCAAACTATCAATTGCAGTGCTGTAGTCGTACTGTTAGTTAAAGTCTTATAGAAGCAAAACTGTAAATCAGCAAGTAGTTGAAGACCACCAGTAATCAAAGGTAATATTGTATCTGTGTTATTGTAATTTGATTTGATGGTTTTCCTGCCGTAGGACTTTGGTAGATACTTAAATTAGTTCCTTTGTTGGTTGGTTTTTGAGTAATCTCAGACTGTGGGTAACATGTAAGCGTGTCATCATTCTATAGACAAAATCACTCCAAGCTGTGAAGGTGATTTGTTCCTTGGTTGTCAATCAATTCATTTCAATGGATTCTCTTCCCTTTTGTATGTTTACTTACAGACTTTCTAATTAATGACTTGCATTTTTGAGGCTGGATAAGCTGATATTATTATACAGCGAAAAAAATACCAAGTGATATGCAATTGTTATACATATTATATTTGTATAAATAAATATATGTGCGTGTGTGCAAAGCTTCAAATTTTTGTTTCTGATCTGAACTACCTAGAACCATTCAGAACACCCTAGCAAATGCATAGGAACATGCTAACATCTACTTAGAACACCTTAGCAACCGCATATTGCAATAATTAATCAAAAAGCAAAAGTAAGAAAAGATGGGAGAGTATTCAGTTTTATCCACAGACATGACCAGTTGATGTGTTCAACAGAGGCTGAAGTTACTAGCTTGTGCAGTGAAATTCTTTTACACTCATCAGGCATCTAATGGACTGATAAACAACCCAACTGACCTGGCAGTGAGAGTAATGCAGAAACTTGCTCTTTATGTAAAAGGGATTGTAAATTGTTACTACAGACCCTGAAATTTCCACCATTATCTTTTTCGAATTATCTTTTTTTTTAATAGTAATGCTCTTGTCATCTGATATGACAAGTGAATAAAAAAAAAAGTTTATCATGATATGACAGTGTCAGGATATTCAACTAGTCCCATAACAGTCCAACATGGCATAAAGTGTAAGTACAACGCTCTACATTACAAGCAGACTACTTATGTATGTAACTTGTGTATGTGACAAAATTTCATGCAAGGAAAACAAATAATATTTATCATTAGCAAGTCTTAGATTTCAATTGCCACTGACTGAGTTACAAGCTTATAATAAGTTGAGCATAGATAATATTTTAACTCACCAACACAACAGGTTTAATGTTCAATAACCCAGCAGTTCATCAGACCTTAGTGTGTTTTGTATTGATATTAGTGGTAGAATTAGTTGTCGTATTATTTTCTTATGATTATTATTGTTGGATTTTAAAAACAATTACCATGTATAATCTGGCAAGTCAGCTAAAAAATGTACTACTCTATTGCTGATGTGTGCATAGAGGGTTGAGCCAGTAATATATTTTTCTACATTTCCACTGTATATGTTTCCTGAAATAACATTTTGACTAATGAAACTATACATGGAAGACGTTTATGGAAAGGGGGACCAGGATAAGTACACATTACTAATGAGATCCAGCTGTTAAATGTGATTTTTAATTTCTCAAAATCTGCACTAAAAGAGTAAACAAACATAATGCTCATAAATACTGTAGATGTAACATTCTCTGGCAGAAAATCCACACAGCTGAGCAAAATCTACTGCCAAATCTATCAGCACTACTGCTGTTCCTGAAACCACGCCTTCTTTCTTTGCGTGCACATTTGGGCGGCATTATGCTAATATTTCCACATTGTGATGTAGACATGTGGGGGCGTGTTAGAATGAGCCTTTTAGGTAGGCCTGGTTGACTCTTAACTTTTATAAAGAATATCTCTTTGGATTTGAGACTTTAGTCTTTGCAACTTTACAGATCTTCTTTATGCACCAAGAGCTTGTAACACTCCAAAGAGAAAGGAAAACTTGAAATCTTTATTTTGAAACGAATCATTTATTTGAGTGATTCAATGACTCGGTCCTACCAATCATCTCCAGCTACTGTCGTAACGTTGTAACCTGCAGAAAGTGTCTCTGAAAATCTATACCACTAATGCACAGATCAATCTGGAACTGATCTTGGAATAGCTGTTTTGTGTACATATAATTAAACATTTTTTATTTGTTGTACCCAATTAGCCCTATGTCACAGGGGTAGATTACTATTTTTTACTCTCTTCTAGAAAAAATTTGATTGTTAGCACAGAATGTATCTGTAAAATAAGTGCTAAATACGTGATATATATGCTAGGCTTACTCAACTCAAGAACAGGTGAAGAATTACAGCTTCAGATAACCTGTTGATATCTGCTTATCACTACTTAACAGATGCCACACTAATATATTGATAAAAGGAAATCTTAATTTAAACAGTTTTCTTCCCTACAAACTATTTTTAATACAGCGTTTTGATTTCTAAAGCATGAGATATTGAAAGCTGACAACACATATGTGGTCTTTGGCTACCAGGAATCTGAGAAAGCATCTGAGAAAGTACTGCACTCTGGTGGCCAAAGGTTACTAGTGCATTGTTGTCAAAAAAGGTCAACGTGGGTTCAATAGACTATATCTTTGTCCTTGGGAAACAGTGTAATGTTCAATATATTTTTTGTCAAAACATTAAGATATGTGCAAACACAGTAAATGACTTTAACAATTAAATCCACACTATAAGAAATGTTCAAAGAAATATAAAAGAAGTAAAAAAGTGAAAAAAGTCTCCTTTTTATGGCCTACGGTGAAAAGCTTTTAACACGTGCAGTCAGAGCATACTATGCTATTCAATCTATGGAGGTTCAAACCTTTTAAAGGGTTAATAATAAATCCAATATATGAGTCATTTAATGGATTATAGTAGTGCTTTAGCCATGGATATTTCCTGCATTGCATTCGGAGTGATAGCCAGGTGGGCGACAGGATTGCTTTCTGAAATTGAATCTACTGTACTTAAAGCGTTTGAAAGACTCTCAGTTAAAGATCCTCTAATGCATTACTGAATCTCTTTACAAGAGCAAAACTGGCTCCACGTCTGAATAGGCACCTTTTAAAATGTGAAAGTAACTACTTTAATGAGGGTTGTAGGTATTTTTTTACTTCAAGGTTAAGTGTTTCTCTATTTGATTCACTAACATGAGCATAAATAAAAGAAGAAGCGAGCAGGAATGGTTGAAATGATTGAAAAATGTTACTGCTAACAGCTTAATGCGTATTACACTCATATTTGCCATATAACCATCTAACACATTTCATATAAATGAGGATGAGGGGTAGATTTAATCTACTGTTGTATTTGACTAGTTTTAATTTAATTTAATTTACTTTTCACAGATTTAAAAATCATCTCTCTGGAATTTAAAGTTAAAGATGTATTTTCCATATTTTACAGTTCATTTACATATAATTTTACGTCACTATTGAAGTCTGAGAATTTTGTAGTGTTTCATGTTGTTGTTTTTTTTTACTGAATAGCAATAGCGTACAGATAAAATGCAAAAATCCACATTATAAATATTTGTTTTTTAATTAATTATTTAAGTGTAATGTATTTCAGTCTCTGAGTACTTTAATTGCATCAAATTAGATTACATTTGACATTTAATCATACTGTATATGATGGGCAAATAAATATATATTGAGACTATTGCATAGTTTGCATCCACTGGAACATCTTATCCCACTCAATATTGTGAGCTTTAAATGAAACGAAACTAATGCAACTAATGTTCTTGTGTGCAAATGTTCTCTTTTATACACACACACACACACAAGCAGCACCTTGAAGTGTCAGCATGTGGCCATTTGTTCATGACAATGGTATTAAGAAGGTGTGAATGATGTGTAACATTTGTTACATTAAGCAAACAGACACACAGAGCTCATTTCCTCTCTTTCTCTCTCTTTTTCAACATCCAACTCATCACACTATCAACTGTCCTCCTTCTAGCAGCTGACAAATGGCGTATGATTGGGACCAAGCTGCAGTCAATATTTACCGAGAGACGCATTTCAAAAAGCACCCGAGGATTTAATTTTGACAAATGGGATCATTAAATACAACTTTTTGAAATGTATTATTGATGAAAAAGTCATTTTATGCAAGAATGTTCATTAAATATGACAGAAACAACATTACACGAATACAAAAACAGTCATTTAAATTATGTACAATCTTATTTACAACACAGAATGGTAGGTCGTGGATAACATTAAGTTGGTTAATATTACAAAGCAGCATTTACTGAGTACCTCAACGATTATTATTGATAAATAAAACCAATTTCAATGTAGTTCAGTTGTACAGTCAGTCAACATGTTAAAAAGATCCACTGTCTATACAATGACATATTTTTTATGGATAGTACGGCTTTTTTAAAGCATGTATTATAACCAAGCCTAGACAGAACTAAAGATTTGTTTAGCATTTTCAGCTGTGAATTTGAGGGCAAATCTTTGTCATTGTGCTGTATGGAGGTTTGTAATTGCTACATTCTTATTGGTATCTGAAAGCATTATCAAATCATCCAAAATACTTCATAAATGAACATGCAATGTGAATATCAGGCATTCAGATTCTGCAGAGCGTTCTGTGGA